TTTTTGCTAAGGGCACACCTACGGCTTCCTGATGCTCCAGCCAGCTGCTAATGCCCAGGTGAAGGGCTGCTTTTTCATGCTGCAGCCTCTGCTCACTATGGCTGGAGCAGCCAGAGGGGAAGGGGAGTTTGTGGCACCTGCTGGGTGCAAGCCGCAGCCTGAGTTTACAAAAGGTTGTCCACCCCTGTTCTAAAAGATCTTTCCCAACCCTGTCATATAGGGTTCAGGGAACACATCCACTGAAGAGACTTAAAATTCCCTAGACAGAATTCTACCTTCGCATCAAGGAAATAAGACTATGGCAAATACCATTATCTCAGAAGTAACTCAGAAATAAAACCACAAAAGAGGAAGACTCACTCATGATCTAAGACACCTGGTACAGTCTCTCCTTCAAACTGCTGCATTTCCAGAATTTTCTCACAGTTATCCAGTCGCTGATCTGTATTCTCTATGTGAGCTGGCAAATGGCAGTTTATGAAGCAGATCATATGGCCATAAAGAGAAAGGCGAATTGTGACTCCTCCTTTGTTCCCCTGATGTGGAAAAGGAACAGTGCTCTTTGAAGATATTGTCACCAAGTGCAGATACATCCGTTACTACAAACTACGACATTTCAGACTCTTTATTTTTTTAAGGAAAAAGTAGTTTCAGTTGTTTTTAAATTAGAGGCAGTATTGAAGTTAGAGCCAGAAGTCTCAGTCAGTAAACTGGTGAAATTCTAAAAGGTCATGGTGGGTAATCATACTAGTCCCTGCTGGCCTTAATTATCACTAGCACATTCGCTGCCAAGTAAACCACAGCCCTCTCCAACAGATCCCTCAGAAGCCCTCATCACGTAATCTGCAGGGATCCAGGTTTCCTGTTTGCTGCAGATAAATGCAGGTTTTCCCCTTTGAGAGAGAAAAATGCAGGAACCTGCGGGGAGAGCTCCCACAGTTAAGTCAGCGGGGAGCGTGGAAGGTGCAGACTGAGGCAGCAGCAGCCATGGTGAGGGAGTGGGGCAGGGTTAGCTGCTAGGGTTGGGGGTGCTGTCCAGCTGTGGCAGGACCCAGGTCAGAGGCACAGGGAGATAGCGGGGGGGGGCCTACACCATATCTGGGGAGGCTGTGGCTTGACAGCGAGAGGCAACAGCAGGGGCAGGACACTGGCATATCAGAGTTACTCAGCACCACAAAGTAGCGGAAGGAGAGGACAGCCACAGCTGGACCGTGTCCTGGTGAGTGAAGGGGGCAGGGGGAACTCTGATTTTCCATGATAAAAATCCAGAATGAAATGCCAAAATATAGAGGTATTTAGAATTTATTTTAATGACTGAGGTACTGGCAGGCTTCCAAACTGCTTTAAAATTGTAAATATATCAATAAAACATGGTGTTCAACTAATACCTATATATACAGACAGTGGTGTTTCATTTTAACTGCAGAAAAACGCAGACTTTGGCGGGGGTTGTCAGAGAATTT